CAAAAGAAACTCAAAGTGGGATTTCACATTTCAGAATCGCACGGAAGGTGAAACTAGGAGGGATCTCCCCTTCTCGGAATCAAAAGATTTGATAATCCTAACGTCGAAAGGTTTGACTTATCAACTAAAGGTGATTTCTGTTATATCGAGAGTGATTAATGGTTTTGGTCCGTAACTTATAGGAAGGTCTTGCACAACAGCGAAGAGTTTGAGATTGACCCCGAACTTAGGAAGGTATGATCCACTTGATTTGAAAGTGACGCTCTTCGTTCATGGAAAGAAATCGCAAGAGGGGATTTGGTTGTGGTCGCCTAACTGCTAGGAGGTTTGCTGAGCTGGAATGTAGGTGAAGTAAAATCATAGCTGGGAGTGTTGACTCATTACAAATTCACTCAATGAGAGTTTTGTGTCTACTGCAGCATAATTGTAATGATTCAGATTTATCCTAGAAAATTAGCATGTAAGATTCTTTCTGGGAAGTTTCGCGTATGTACATGAATTACCCACGCCCAGCTTTCTTTACGGACTGAGTCTAGACATCTATACTCAAAGTTACATGATACGAGAGTCATTCTTAAGAATACCAGGCATGGTATTCTCCAAGAACCTTCTATGAAAGCAAGGAAATAGTTTTAGAGCTATGTATTAAGCTTGATGAGTTATTGAAAGTGTTTTATACTGTATCTCCCTGCGAAGATGTGCCGTTCTTATTCTGGATTCTATTCTAGCGTTATGGACGCCGGCCTGGCAACCAGTTTGGATGTTATTCTTTAAAGCTAAAGCAGGCCTTGGTGAGATGATAGGATGCCTCCATATGGCGAAACGCGCGAGTATTCGATCGCAGTATTTGTTTCTTCCTACCTGATTTTAGTGATGGTGTAGCAGCTTGATCTTGTTTGTTTTCAAGAAGGGGTCTCGAAGATGAGTTGGAACGTCTTTCGTCCTTGAATGAGTCCTCTTTTGAGCTTCGGACCCAATCTTTTATTGTTTTCGGGTTCTATTTTGACCGTCTGATTAACGTCAAGCAATGTTGTATGGTGCTTCATATCCTTCAATCATAGGGAAATGAGACTCGGCATCAGAGGGTGTAGCCATCGGTTAGCTTCTTTCGACCTTCTCCTAGCTGAGGAAGCGTTTGGCCTAGCTCTCCGCGGCGACTTCACTCTTTCCAGGTATTGAGACTGACTGGCTTACTACTCATACCGTCAAAGATGTTAATGACAAGTTTTATGACAAGTCAAAGAAGACGAATTCCGTCGCGATGAGCGGGCATCCTTGGCAGCTTTAATTGCCTGATTTCGGAGCGGTTGAGTGAAGGTATCCTACGATCCCGCCGTCTTTATCGATTTCCATCAAAGAGTATCCTGATTGATACTTCTGTGTCGATCATTTGAAGACAAATGAGCGAGGAACATGACTCTCCAGTCCTCCCAACATGTGATGTTTCTGGGTTGAGACGCCGGCAGCTAAATCGAAGTAGGCTCCGGAAGGGTGGCTAAGCGAATGACGTCACTCAGGGCTGCGTTGCGGAAATTATTCTCAAATGAGACTTACAATATAGTTAAGTGATGAGCATGTTTGCAGAGAAAATTAATTATTTCATTGTGGGATTCATTACAAACTTCAGACGTTTACAATGAAAACAAAAATTAGTCTTTTATAAGACCTTTACACAATGAAAACAAAATAAAAGTACAATTCTCTTCAAACTGCACAAAATCGTTTATCGGTCTTTTGCTTGTGTGGCATCTTAGCCTGTGACAGGGATGTTGATATCCGTGGACCACCGTCGATCAGATCTGATTGCTGAAAAATCAGGCAGAGCTTCGTTGATTCGCGAAGGAATCAAGAAACCGTAGTGCTTATCTCCGCAACGGCGAGATAATTTCTCCTTAAGATTATCATAACGGGATAATCTTAAGGAATGGACCCAAGGACTGCAGATCTGACGAGCTCCTCTTTTTTATGCCGACTAGCTCGATCCGATCTCTCCTCCTCCTCTCTGAAATTCGTACACCTTTAGTCTTTAGTCCAGCAGGGCTTCGCCAAAGCTCAAGAATTTCAGATCTAAAAAAATAAAGGTCCTGGGGCAGTATTTATAGGCTCCAGGGAATCCAAACGGTTAAAACCGCAAAAGAACCACTTTTTAGGGCATGAGACACCCTCGGGCGTCTCAGCGAGGCCGAGACCAGCGAGGCCGAGACACCCTCGAGCGTCTCAGCGAGGCCGAGACACCCTCGGGCGTCTCAGCGAGGCCGAGAAACCCTTGGGTGTCTCGGCCTTGGCCGAGACACCTTGGGGTGTCTCAATTGGTCCGAGACACCTTGTGGTGTCTTAGCTTATGCTGAGACAGTCCGTGTTGCGCGTTGTTTTTTATATTCGCCATATTTCCTCTTCTGAACTCGGATTTACATGATTCAAAATACGTTGAAAAGCCGATGAGAAGATCTATAGGCTCTCGTGATTGGATCATCTGTGGAATAAACACTACAACAAACATGTCTTTTAGCGACCAACTTTTTTGTGAGAAAATTATTTTCCTCAACAAATATCACCTTCGACGAGGAAAACATTGTTTCCTCGATAAATATCAGTAGGTCTTTTACGAGGAATATATTTTCCTCACAGTAGACCACCTTCTACGATGAAAATTTTAGTTCCTCACTAAAGATGATCATGATTTGGTCTCATAACTAGTTATTTTATTAGCGAGGAAATATGAGATTTTGGTGATGAACTTTTTCATCGCGAAATACACATTTAACGAGGAAATAATCATTTCATCGCTGTTCTTTTGGCGGAAAATAGAGGAAAACCCGCCAAATGTAACATCGACAAAGTATGATTTCCTCGCTAAAGATCCATAATCTGCGAGAAACTATTTCCTCATCAAAAAAATCAATTAGCGAGGAAATAGTAGTTTCCTCATTATTAGTTTGGCGGGAAGAAAAAAAACCCGCCAATTTCAATGGTGACAAATTTAAGGCTTCCTCGCTAAAAGTTTTTGTTTTTACGAGGAATTGTTTCCTCGTTAAAAAGAACCTATTAGCAAGGAAATTATAGTTTTCTCACTATTAATTTGGAGAAAAAATTTACAACACCCGCCAAATTCATTGACGACAAATTAAAAGTTTCATCGCTAAAATTTTTGTTTTACGAGGAACTGTTTCCTCGTTAAAAAAACCAATTAGCGAGGAAATAATAGTTTCCTTATTATTAGTTTGGCGGAAAAATGTGCAAAACCCGCCAATTTCAATAGCAACAAATTTCAGGCTTCATTGCTAAAAGTTTTTGTTTTATGAGGAACCGTTTTGTCGTAAAAAAGAACCTATTAGCTAGGAAATTCATTGACGACAAATTGATGGTTTCCTCACTAATTTTTTTTTGTTTTACGAGGAACCCTTTCCTCGTTAAAAAAAATCAATTAGAGAGGAAATAATAGTTTCTTCATTATTAGTTTGATGAAAAAATGTGCAAAAACCGCCAAATTCAATGACGACAAATTTAAGCCTTCCTCGCTAAAAGTTTTTGTTTTGCGAGAAATCATTTCCTTAATAAAAAACCAATCAGCGAGGAAATAATAATATCCTCATTATTCGTTGGCAAAAAAATTGGTGGGAATTTGGGTAAAAAGTAGATGTGTACTCAAAGAAAAGAGCGGGCCTCTAATATCAATGGCCTAACAAATGTCCATATACAAGTCAACAATCGTGGGCCAATTTACATTTTTTTGAATAAATGTCCAGCACGAGGTAAAGCTCCAGTATGGATAGAAATAAGGATTTGGTTTGTCTGGTTGATGGTTCCTTTTTGTAGGTTTTTGCACAATTCACATGAAGATTAACAACCAATTAATATTTATTCAGATTCAAAGGGATCCCAATAATAAAGGATTGCTCACAAGTCTGATAAGATTTAAATAATTTGCGATTTTTTAATATACATTTATTTCAGACTTCTGAAATTAGATTATGTTAATAGATAATATTGACTTCTAAAAATAGATTAAACCAAACGTGCAATGAAATCTCTTATTCCTATTTGGCATAATGTTTAAGGTGTATGGTGACCATGCTTCGATATCAATGGAGAATCGTATGTGTGTGTGTGTGTGTATAAACTATTTGCGATTTTTGAATATACATTGATTTCAGACTTCTGTAAACAGATTATGTTAACAGATAATATTGATTTTTGAAAATAGATTAAACCAAACATGCAATGAAATCTCATATTCCTATTTAGCAATGAAAATAGATATAAACTACATTAGCTTTGAGATGTGAGAGATTCTCCTCACAAGTTTAGGCATTACTTCGATTCTAAACACTCATTAATCATACATCCTGAGCTTATCTCTAGATTTATCCGTCTTGATTAGATATTTATGCCTCAGCAAGATATTTCCACTTTGAATATGTTTTAATGCCTCAACCGGGTATCCTATCGTAATAAGATCTTTCATTCTTGATCACAACAAATTTTCTCTTTGAAAAGATAGAACCGGGTATCCTATCGTAATAAGATCTTTCATTCTTGATCACAACAAATTTTCTCTTTGAAAAGATAGATGAAACATATACACATGTTTATATTTTTCCCTAACCCCTAAACCTTAAACTCTAAACATGGTCAGAGTAAAATATCAAATTTAACCCTTTTAATAGATATACTCACTGTCTAGTTTGAATCAAGCTAGACGGGTATTTTCGTCTAGATTGACAAACTAGACGGTTTTTATTTTTTTAAATAATACTCAAACTAGACGAAAATTCCGTCTAGATTGCCTAACAAATTTTACGAAACTTTTTTTTTCATTTCCCCGCCTATTTTTCCATTTCCCCTCCTCATTTTATTCCGCTCTGGCCCTCTCCATCTAAAAACCCCCAAATCTCTCTCTCTCTCATCTCCACGCCCACCCCCCTCACCAAAACCTCCAGATCTCCCTCAACCCCTGCGGATCCATACAAGGCACCTTGCTGAGAATATGCCCCTTTTTTTATTATAATGGAGCTAGATTGTCTCTTTTTTTAGCTAATAAGAGGTATCTAAATGAAAGTCACCTGAATCTTGGAATTAGCATATTGGGTTAGCTGCTATATCTTGGCTAATTAAAGCAAAATTTTAATGGAAGTTGGACTTCCTTTTTGTAAATTGAATGCTTATTGGTACTTGATGTCTTATGTCAACTGGATTTGGCAGGCACAATGATCCTTTTGTGTTGGAGCTGGATTTTGAACCTTTTAATGCGAATTTCCCACGGCCCAGCAGGTCTTCATCCATAGGAAATGGGGTTCAGTTCCTTAACAGGCATCTATCGTCTATAATGTTCAGGAATAAGGATTGCTTGGAGCCGTTGGTTGATTTTCTTCGGGCCCACAAGTATAAAGGGCATGTAGGTGTAGCTTGCAACAAAAGATTAGTGTAGTGTGGCTTTCTACTTTCAATAAACAAATGTTTGGTTGCTGAGATTGCTCCCTGTGTCTGTCTGCAGGTGATGATGTTGAATGATAGGATTGGGAGTGTATCAAGGCTTCAATCACAATTATCAAAGGCTGAAGACTATTTGCTGAAGCTTGCGCCTGATACCCCCTTCTCGGAATTTGCTTATGCGTAAGAACCCTTGCTTTTCATGAATGCTTTGGATATAATTGCCAGGAATCTTCACTAATTGATACATTTCAGACTTTCATTAACCTTGCCTTATTTGAGCAGTTTTTAGCCTTCTCTATTTTATCTCAAATGGCCATGAATTTGCTTATCTTGTGGGTCATGATCAATTGAATTCCGTCTAACGAACTTTGTCAGGCTCCAACTCTGCCTGTTCTCTCTTATAGCATTGATGATGTTTAAGTGGAAGCTTCCCCTTGGTTGAATTAATTTGGGTTGTCAACTAGCAGGAGAATTGCTTGCAAACTGACTTCCTAGGCTTCAATGCAAGTATCATTCTTATATTAGACTTTGCCCAGCATTGAGCATGTCCCTGAATTTTGACAACTCTGTGGTTTTCATTGGCAATGACATGCATCGTGCATATTTCTTTAACCAAAGGCCTTGATTTAGGTGAAAAGTGTTACTTATCTGGCAACATATTGAAAATAATGGTTGGTATTTGGCATGCAGGTTCCAAGAGATGGGACTAGAGAAAGGTTGGGGCGATGCAGGTCAGCGTGTATTGGAGATGATTCATCTTCTTTTGGATATTCTTTTTTCCTACTTTGCGTGTTGCCATATTTTCGATCTTTTCGATAGTAGTTTGTTAATGCCTACCTTCTTTTTCTTTCATTGGATGTCTCCTTTTAAAGATAACAACTGCCTTTTAACTTCTTATTTTCATTTTTTGCAGGTTTTTGCATCGCTTTATTGTGCTTTTTCTTTTTGTATGGTTAATAGTTTAGATACTATCACCCGTGATATAGGTGACCAAATTGATACCAGATGCAAAGGGCACTACATGCAATCAACGACTTGAGAGAGTCAGTGGAACGGAGCATACACATATTTTGCGGGTTCCCTTTAGGACAGAAAAAGGAATTCTTCGAAAGTGGATATCAAGATTTGATGTATGGCCTTACTTGGAGAAATTTGTAGAGGTACTTAGTAAAAAATTGATGTATGGTTTAGTTCAATGCTTTTAAAGAAAAACTTTTCACTGTAGGAACTTTTTGGAATGCTCCATTTTGCAATTTTGATGGCATAATATGCATTATATATCGGTATAGAATGTTGTCAAGAAAATTAGATTTTATCCAGAATTTTCCTTCAGATGATCAGTACTTTAATTGGAACTAGTCTTCTTATTCTAGGATTATATAAGTGCATGGATGTCTCCATATTTTGTGTGGGCTTCTTAGGTATAAACTGTGATTTTCAAGAATCGGTGTTACAAGAATTATTTCACAGGGGACATAAATGATACGGATTGCTCATCTACTGACACAAAAGAACAGAACTGTGAATAATGAGTGATCTGCAAACTTTGTGGTAACTCTCCTTTTGCTAGACCTAACTGTAAAATATTTCAAGATCACTTAGGAAGTATGGAGATCAATTTGGATTACATTCTATAGCACCCTACCTTTCCATTGTTAGATAAGTTATGAATTGCAAGACGGTGATATCCTCATTGTCTCCGAGACGGAAATTATCAGCCAAAGTTGGCAAGTTACTTGACTATGTACTACTTCAATGACGGAATTATATTTGCCCACTTGATATGTACTACTTCAATGACGGAATGCTCACTTGATGCACAAAGTAGGTTAAAAAAAATTATAGCAGCATCCTAGATGGAATTTCCGTCTAGGATCACTTGATGCACAAAGTAGGTTAAAAAAAAATTGTAGCAGCATCCTAGACGAAATTTCCGTCTAGGATGTCCAAAACATCCTAGACGGAAAAAATTCCGTCTAGGATACTCATCCTAGACGGAAAGTTTTTCCGTCTAGGATGAGTATCCTAGACGGAAATTCCGTCTAGGATGTTCCGTCTAGGATTTTCCTAAACGGTTTTAAGTTTCGTCTATGATATTCCGTCTAGGATGAATCCTAGATGGAATTTTCGTCTAGAATACTACATCATAAACGGAAACTTATTAGACGCGCATTGTAGACGGAATTCCGTCTAGGATAATCATCCTAGACGAAAATCTGATTTTTCTAGATAGAAATTTCCGTCTAGAATGCCTCATTTTTTACTAGTGACCACATTAATATGCCACCATGTATGATCTATGATTATTTAGCCAACGTAAGTTATATATTTTGGTCTTCAAGTGTTCTAAGTAAATTATCTAGTGAAAGTTGTTAGTTATATTTGTTATAGTTCATTGCATGCTTTTCTCGAAATATGGACTTTATATGACTTGTGTTCATTTCAATTTTTTTTAACTGTGGTGTTTGGCCTATGCAGTGTGTGCAGCTCCAGGTTCGAAAATTGATATTACTGTTCTAAAGAGGATTATATTGATTAGGTTGTAATTGAGAAGTTACATATGATTGAACTGGATATTTTTTTTATTTATAGGATCAAATGATAAAGATGCGAGCAGACACCACTCAACCTGATTGAACTCGAACAATGACAGATGAGGAAATTTGTGCAAAAGTTCTCAAAGTCAAATCAGGCTACATTAAGGGCTGTGGTTTTGGCTCTAGACCACCACCATTAAGGTTCTCTCTTTCTTCGATTAGTGAAATGTCTGAAAAGAATAAAGAATTGCAAGAACAGCTTCAAGAGACCCAAGAACTTGTAGGAACTCAACAACAAAAGATCGATGCGCAAAATGAGGTCATCCAAAGATTGGAGGAGCAAGCCAAAAAGTTTGAGGAGTTTATGGCTAATTTTTTCAGGCAACATCCATTAGCTTAGTATTCTTAGTGAACTTAAACTTAGAGAAATGTTTCTTTGATCGTGTTGCATTTGTTATTGCTTTAGACTAGCATTGTTACTTATGGTAGAAACTTGCTTGATTTATTTATTTTAATTGTTTTGATGTACTGTGGTGACAATTAATGACAATTATTTATATTTTGAGTGTTTTTCTTGTAATAGCATTATTATTGATGAAATAAAATTTCCTTATTATAAGTATACTGCTTACGTCGTCAAAAGAATATTTCCTCGTTATAGAGTATATTGCTTACATTGACAAAAACATATTTCCTCGCTGTAGGCTGTCAAAAAATCACAATAGATAGCTGATCCCCATAAAAACACCAATGATGGAAGTTACAATCTGACGACTTCCAGAAGGCTACAATTTGAAGACTTTCACATAGATCGCTGAAGGTTACAATCTGACGACCTTCACGACAACTGATGGAAGCTCTAATCAAACAACCTTCATAACCAACATCGAGAGTTACAATCTGACGACTCTTGCATATCAAAGAGCTAAAGTAAATATTACAAAATGACGATCTTTGCAAAACTTCTACAGAAAGAGACTACAAATCAACGGTCTCTTCAAACCAAAATGACGATCTTTGCAAAACTTCTACAGAAAGAGACTACAAATCAACGGTCTCTTCAAACCAAGACGTTGAAGTCCTCCCCGCACACCAGCATCAAGACGCATCGTGTTCATAGCCACGAACGCAGCTCAAACGTAGCTTCCAAATCGCTGCAAACGCAACCCAGACGCAGCTCTAATCGCTGCCAGACACAGCTCTAATTGCTGCCAGACGCAGCTCTAATCGCTGCCAAACGCAACGCAGCTCAAATCGCCGCCAAACGCAGCTCAAATCACCGCCAGACGCAGCTTCCAAATCGCTGCAAACGCAGCTCAGACGTAGGTTCCAACGCTGCAAACGCAGCTTCTAATTGCTGCGTCCGAGCTTCCACACGATGCGTTCTAGCTTCCAGACACTGCGTTTGAATGCATAATTCATACCAGAACGCGGGCCTGCGTTTGACTCGTTCAAACACGAGCTGAACGGTTCCAAAACCGTTTCCCACGATCTGAGGGGATCACAACTCCACTCAGGAGTGATTTAAGGGGCGGTTACATCCCATTATCCCCACTTAGGAGCGAATTAAGGAGGTGGTTACACCCCTTAATCCCCTATAAATAACAACAAACTCAACAGAGTTAAAGATCGGATTTTTGATAATCAGATCAGGGCTGGATCTTTCGGGTGGTCGGTTGGAACTACTTGGCAGCAACGGAAGAGATCCTTGGGCAGTCATTTGAGGAGATCAACGTCATCCCTCAGCAATATTCGGCAACAGGAGCTTTCTTTATCTTTGGCTTATAGACCGATTTCGGTTAAATCAACTCTTTCATAGAGTTCAAACTCGATCAGAGTTATCAACTCATCAAGAGTTTTAAACTTGCCACGCAAGTTCTCCACAACGTCAAATCGTGAGGAGAAGATCATGTTCCAGTGAAACAAGACGTCGGATCGTCAACGAGAAGCAAACTCGACGCGAGCATTCGAGGGAGGCATCTCATCGCCACCGTGAAGAACCCAGATTTAAACAAAGGGGAGAATCCAGATCATTCTCTTCTCTTTTGTAATCAGGAAATCCAATTGTAACTGAGATTAAAGGAATACAAATCAAATTTTCCTTCATTGTCTTTTTACTGTAAATTTTTCCACAAACAAAAGATGGCGACTCTGCTGGGGACTAGCTTCTCTGACGAAGAAGTGGTGGCGCAATCCGATGTTCATCTCACTGGAACCACGGTTGAAACTCTTGTCATAGAGTTCGATCAAGTCAAGTATGAGGAAGCCCTCTCCTCCGGATCCCTTAACCCTAAGGCTATCCGCAAGATCCACAAAGTCTCCAAAGAGACTAAAGATCCAACTGTTGCTCCTATGCCGAAGGAAGACCTCTCCTTTGGGCCAGATTGCTTGGACAGCCCCTCCTCCGATGGAGTGGGCTCAGCTTCAGCCAAACCCGCGCCAAGACGACGGGTATCGGGTTGAAAGATGTCTATTGAGGCAACAAAGGCCTTGAAGCAGGCTAGGAAGAATGTCGCTCGACGCAGGAGGAGATCCCTACGACGAGCACAACTTCGAGAATGCCGATCCTCAAGTCAACACGAGCTTCGTGTTTGTGAGCCTAAACGCAACCATGTGCTCTGCATTTCTGCTTCAGAACGCAAGTCTCTCGTCCATGAGCCCAAACATAGGCTCTGTGTGAAGAAGACTGAGCGCAACCCTCAGGGGCGCGTTCTACAAAATGAACGCAACCCTCAGGGGTGCGTTCCACAAAATAAACGCAACTCTCAAATATGCGTTTCATCAGCAAAACCTGAAGCTCAGGCATGCGTTCAGATTGAGGGGCGGATATCAAAAGTCCATGGATTCAAGGCATCTCAACCAGATCCATGTTCACCAAGAGCCAGTCTTGTCCAATCATGGGCTGGGGGTTCCAATTCAAACCTCACGATCAGTGAGTAATTCTCCTCGAATCTTTACAACAGATTTGGGAGAGTTCATATCGAGAGAAAGACCGATGCAACAAGTCATTCCTACGGTCCTCTCGGGATGTCAATGTTGTTCATATGCGACCAAACAATTGGTGTTCGACCGATTAACGCATGTTACCTTGCCCAACCAACAACGACGTTCTCACAAGAAGAAGTCTCCAGAGACCGAATATCCCGGGGTCACTATCAATGTGATCGGCAGAGGAAAAGTCTCAGCTCCTAGTTCCGATGACTCCGAGACAAGTCGTTCACCGACCGTCAGAGAAATCGCTAACGAGTTTGAAGGAATCTACCAACGCACTCGGACGCGAACAGGAGCCATTCCCCCTGTTGATGACACGGCTTCTGACCAAGAAGCCCACAACCTGGAATCTTCCTCTGATGATGGAAGAGAGACTGAGAACGAGTATAATCTCCAGTCTGCCAAGATGGAAGAATTGGAAGCCCGCCTCAATGCCATGGCCAACAGAAGCGAGCTCCAAGACGAGGGAGTTTTCAGACCCTATCCTGCCGAATGGGATGCAGCCCCTTATCCTCCAAAATTCGAGGTCCCGACGCTATAAACTTTTGACGGCACGGGATCACCGAACCAACATATATATCATTTCAAGTCACAGACTGGGAATGTAATATCAAACGATACCATACTGGCTCGATTGTTCATTGGCACCCTCAAGGGAGTTGCCTTTGAATGGTTCAGGAAACTTCCTGTGGGATGTATCCAAAAGTGGACAGATCTAGAGAGACTCTTCCTATCAAGATTCTTTGAAGATGATACAGAAGTCTCCATTCATACCCTTCTCGCTACTAAGCAGAAGAAGAGGGAGTCCGTCAAAGCATTCGTCAAGAGGTTCCGAACCATGGCTCTCCGGTGTTCGACAGGTATGACATAGTCTACCTTAGTAGAGACCTGTCGACACAACTTGCAGACCAACATTCTAGCACAAATGCGGGTTGCAGAATGCCGTTCTTGGAGACAACTAATCTCTCAAGGCGAACATGCTCAAAAGATTATTGTCAGGATCAAAGCTGAAGAACAAAGTAGGCAGGATCCACCTGAGCAATCGGACCAAGCCCAACCTTCACCTAAGCAATCTCGGACCAAGCCCAACCTTCTCCTGAGCAATCGGACCAAGCCCAATCTCCTCAGTCAGAAGGGGAAGATACTACGACCACTGAAGCTAATCCTCTTCAGTAGGATGGGTAGGTCCACAAAACTATCACGTTAACAATTACCTCTGATAGTCCATCAATCTGCCAATCCTCTTCAATAGGATGGTAGGTCCACAAAACTATCACGTTAACAGTTACCTCTGATAGTACATCAATCTGCTAATCCTCCTCTTCAATAGGATGGCGGGTCCACCAAAACTATCACGTTAATGATCACCTCTGATAGTCATTTTCCTCCAAATTCCCCCACCAATCCTCTTCAAGTAGGATGGCGGGTCCACCAAAACTATCACGTTAACCGTCACCTCTGATAGTCATTTTCCTCCAAATTCCCCCACCAATCCTCTTCAAGTAGGATGGCGGGTTCATCAAAACTATCACGTTACTAATCACCTCTGATAGTCTACCTTCCTCCAAATTCCCCCACCAATCCTCTTCAAGTAGGATGGCGGGTCCACCAAAACTATCACGTTAACTGTCACATCTGATAGTCATTTTCCTTCAAATTCCCCCACCAATCCTCTTCAAGTAGGATGGCGGGTTCACCAAAACTATCACGTTAATAATCACCTCTGATAGTCTACCTTCCTCCAAATTCCCCCACCAATCCTCCTCAATAGGATGGCGGGTCCACCAAAACTATCACGTTAACCGTCACCTCTGATAGTCCTTTTCGTCCAAATCCCCCCACCAATCCTCTTCAAGTAGGATGGTGGGTCCACAAAACTATCATGTTAACAGTTACCTCTGATAGTCAAACTCATCAGATAATGGCCTACCAGGTGACGTGCCTCTATTCCGACTTCATGGATAGTGCCCCACTAGGTGATGTGCCTTGTCTACCTCTTTTTATTCCCCTGCTAAGTCTTAATCAAGACTGGGGGTTGGTTACTTGGAATCCATTGGATTAAGAGTAACGAATCTTTCACATCGTCGAGTTAACATTACACTTCTGACGATCATCATCCCCACAGAGTATGCATTCAACTCGCATTACTCCCAATTTGTCACGTTAACAATATACCTCTGACAATCAACTTATCAATCCTCTTCAATAGGATGATAGGTCCTCAAAATTGCTCAAATTGCAATCCTCCCCAGCGAGACGCTAGTCTTCAAAATCTTGTTCAAATCACAAGTACACAAATTCTTGTCACGTTAATCCTACACCTCTGACAAAATCAACTTATTAATCCTCTTCAATAGGATGATAAGTCCACAAAGTTGCTCCGATCGCAACAAATTCCCGTCATGTTAACACCAAACCTCTGACAACCCACTTATCAATCCTCGTCAATAGGATGATAAGTCCACAAAGTTGCTCCAATCGCAACACCTTCCTGTCACGTTAATATCACACCTCTGACAAAATCAACTTATTAATCCTCTTCAATAGGATGATAAGTCCACAAAGTTGCTCCGATCGCA